CGGAAACAAACTTTACAGTCAGTGCACTTTTTCCAACTCCACCACTACCCAGCACTACCGCTTTTAACTCCCTCATTTGTGAAAATTAAATGAAAAAAATAACAGTTCTAAATCTGAACACTTTGAAATTCAAAAAAATACATTTATTTATTAATTGTTGTTTAACGACAATACTAGAAACAAAACAAAATGATGAATAGTAGACAGAAAGAAAATGAGCGATAACAAAACTTTAGTGGTCCACAAAAACCATAGATGTACCAAACATGTTACAGAAAATAGTATTATGACTAAAACCATAGACATAGAAACTCGTTTTTTTATAAAAAAAAGAATCAAACCAAAATAATTAGTATTTATTTATTGAATTTCATTACAAAAAAGAATACACATAAAAATAAAATTATTTGCATCGTTGAAATATTGTACATAGATAACAATTGGTATAATTAATATAATCCATATATATAGTATTGTATGATATTTTAACCAATGAACTAGTGCAGTGATCGGGTTCGAATATGACAAAAGAATCCCCTCCTGTCACATGCTTTGTGTGATACGTCCTTTAGCATGCGCTCTTTGTATGTCGATGATTACTCTGAACTTTATCTTTAATGTAACAGACAATTATTATGTGCAACGTTCAGAGTTATTCATTGCTCAATGTTTCTTGTCATCACGATAATGGTAAACATTTGGTTTTCAACCTGCTCGAGGTACTAAAACATCCTAACAAAAAACGATATGTTTCTCTCTAGTGACAATAGTAATCTTACTATTCTACTTGACTTTTCTTCTGTTTTTGATACTGTTGATCATACTATTTTAAGACTGCTAAATCATTTTTCTAATATTACTGATTCTTGTCTGTCTGGGTTTTTTTCTTTCTCTGTAATCGTTTTTCTTATGTTGTTCTTAATAGTCCTTTTCTTTTACTTTTGGGGTACTCAAGGATCTATCCTTGGTCCTTTTCTTTTTATACTTAATACCTCAGAGCTATCTTGTATTATGAAAAAGTTTTCTTTCACTAGTGATGAGGTTGCGTTTATATTTGAGAGAACTAGGAAGAGCAGTGAACGGGATAAGAAAAGAATAGTATTTGTTTGGATAGGCTGGACACGTGTTTCGTCTTTCGGACTTATCAGCAGCCCAGATACCTATCAGAATAGTTATTGCAGTTTTTTATATAGCCCGCTCGTGGTGTTTTATTTATTATTAAAAATTGTTAGTTTTTTAGTCGTTAGGATTTCAATCCGACACTAGTCAACTATACGCAATATTTATATTTCTTTTCCTCTATCTAATCTCAATATTGTTCTTCATAATTTATCTCTATGTCTCTCTTATTTATCTTAAACTAAGTATTTTTAAGTTTGAATTAATATGTTTTAATAAATCTGATCACTTTATTACTATTCCTTCAATTATCTTACCTAATTCTTTAACTCATGATGTTTCCCATAAATTTCGTAGTTTAAGCTTCTTTTTAGATTATAGCATGTCTCTTTCTTGTCAGATTAATAATGTTGCTAGAAGTTTTTATTTTCATCTACGTAAAATAAAAAACCTTTTGCCTTTTCTTAACAATCCTACTTTTCTTCCTTCTTGTTACTTCTTTAGTTTTATTTAGGATTGATTATTTTAACTTGCTTTACTATGGTCTTCCTGATTCTACACTCTATTCTTTAAGTAAACCTTTTAACTCTGCTGCTTGTCTATTTGCTCGTGCCTTATATTTTCTTATGTATCTCCATGTCTCTCTTTCTTGCATTGACTACATATAAATATTGAAATTTTAAAATTGGCATATTAATGTAGGAGTCTCTATCTAAATTATTTCATAAGTACTTATCAGATATATTAATTAAATCTAAACTCCTCGTTTACGATTGTCTTTTTGTTCCTCACTTTTTTTAACTCATGTAAAAAACTCTTATGCTAAATTTGCGTTTGCTTTTTCTCTGGAACTCTCTACCTACTTCTCTACCCACTTCTCCATCATTACTTCTCCATCACTTACAAAGTTCAGAGTGGATCTCAAGATCTATCTGTTAGCAAAATTTTCTGAGGAACGTTCTTGAATATCGCAGAAATGGCGCTTAACAATTTAATTGATTGATCGAAAAATAGATAACGATCACTTAAATAAGATTTAAACTAATTGTACGCAACACCTCTCTTATGCCATAAACCTACAATTTTTTTAATAAAATGATATAAACTAAAGAAACAAAGGCTTTAAAAACACCTATAGTAATTTTTTTTATATTCAAGTGCTTGAGAAACAATTAACTAATTCTACCATCACAGATTCACTATATAGCTTGGCGCGAAAGCCCTACTAGTTAGGACTCACGCAGACACACACACACATAATTCAATATAAAAAGTGAATTGAAAATTGCCTACAAATCGTTGTAAAAATTCACTGATGAGT